TTTTCCTCTAAGATCAGCAACAAGACAAACATGCCCACTTTTACCACATCTATTCAACGTAGTACTGAAAGTTGGATTGGAGGATTTAATATTGTTAGGCTGTTAATTTTACCCAAAAGTGACCAACAGACTCAATTCAATTATATCAAAATTCCTATGTCTTTTATGCAGAAATAGAAAACCATCCTTAAATATACTTGGGTCCCAAGGAACCCCAGATATCCAAAATAATCTTGAAAAAGAAGAATGAAGTTGGAGGACCCATACTTCCTGATTTCAAAACTTAATATAAAACTACTGTAAACAAAACAGTGTGGTGTGGCACAAAGACAGACATATAGACCACTGGAATAAAAAAGAAAGTCCGCAAATAAACCCTCCCATATATGGTCACATGATTTTTGATAAAGCTATCAAGAAAAGCTTACCAACGTACTCTGCTACTACCTGCTTAAGATTGCCTGTCTCTGGATACCTTAGCCCAAAGTATTCTTTCACTCACAGAAAAAGAGACTAAACATTTTTCTGTGTGTTTACTTGTCATCTTATTTTGTGACTTGCCTTATTCTTATTTTGTGATGTGCCTGATTGTAATTCTTGCTAGCTTTTTACTGGAGTGTTTTACTTCTTACTTCTTATTGATTCTGTATATTAGGTACATTAACCCTTTGTATGGCATATGGTGAATCTGTTGAACCAACACAAGTTATTGAAACTTTGCCCCACTGATTTGAATTGCTACTTTTACTGTACAGTAAATTAATATATATGCATATGAATCTAGTTCTGGGCAATATACCACAGTGATTAGGAGTATGGACTCTGAAACTAGGCTGCCTTAATTCAATTCCAACCTCTCAGGAAGAGACTACTTGGTTGTAAACACCCTAATATCAATAATTACCTAAATTCCAGCATTGTTAATCTGACAAATATATAAATAATATAAAATGAAGTACTATGTAAATATTTGAAAAGTGAATAATATAAAATATATACCAGAAACTCTAGTTATTAAGTCATTACAATATGCTAGATACTTCATATATATTATTAATTCATTTGATACTTAAAACACACTAGGGATTTATGTATTATCATCACCACAGGTAATAAAATGAAAGCAAACATACTTAGGTAAATTACACAAAATTATGCAGCTAGTAAGTGAGAGAGCCCGGAGTTTAATCAACAGGCCCTAAATATAAGAATATTACTATGAGGGTGCTGGATCTGAGGAAATGGGCCCAAAAGAACCCATCTCTTTGTTTACTTCACACTTGTACCTAGTAGACTTGTCTCTTCAGTTTATTTTCTACAGTGCAGCCTAAGTGATCATACTCTAAACAAGGAATCAGCAAACTGTGACTTGTCATCCAAGTTCAACCCAAACTAAGAATGGTTTTTGGAAAAGAAATCACAGGAACAGTTTTACGTGACACTTGAAAATTATATTCAAATTTCAATGTCTATATATAAAATTTTATTGGAATACATCCAAACTTATTTGTGTATGTATTGACTATGCCTGCTTTTGCTCTACAATGGCAGAGTTAAATAGATGCAACAGAGCCCGTATGGCTTGTAAAAAGTCTAAAATATTTGCAACACTTAGCCAGGCATGGCACATGCTGGCTCCTTTGGAGGCTAAGATAGGAGGATTGCTTGAGTCTAGGAGTTCAAGGTTATAGTAAGCTATGATCACACTACTGCATTCCAACCTAGGTGAAAAACTGAGACAAGAAAGAAAAGAAAGAGGGAGGGAGGGAGGGAGGGAGGGCGGGTGGGCAGGAAATAAGGAAGGAAAGAAGGAAGGGCAGGAAATAAATAAGGGAGGAAGGGCAGGAAATAAGGAAGAAAGGAAGGGAAGGAAGGAAGGAAGGAAGGAAGGAAGGAAGGAAGGAAGATAGGAAGGGAGGGAGGAAGGGTGGGAGGGAGGAAGGGAAAGGCAGGAAGGCCTGCCTAAAGAATTTGCTACCTGGGCCTTTATAGGAAAAGTTTTCTAGCAAATATATTGATAATATCAATCTTCTGTTTAAACGATTTAGAAGATTCCTATTGCCTTTGAGATAAATTCTAACTCCTTTATATGGAATGTAAGCCCCTTTAGTCTCTCTGCTTTGTAGCCCTATCAACTTTCTTGTCATGTTGTATGCCTTGTAACTTTTTACTACTGATAATATGCTAATACAAAATGGACTATTTTCAGGTTAACTGATATAGTTTGTATGATCCCATTGTGATTCATATGTCATTATCTTTAGTCTTTTAGGAAAAGACATCTCAGAGGTAGAAAATCATGTATAAGTAGCAATAGTCTTGTTTATTTTACAAGCTTTTAATTTCAAAAAATGTAATATTTTCCAATCTGTAGTCTATAGAACTCTGGTTAGATGAAATTTAGATAGTAAGAATTAATCTATTAAAAGAATAAATTCTTTTAGACAATTTCTACATGGAAACTTAAATGTATATAGTAGATACATGAGCTTAAATAGAACTTTGAGGCTTTAATGCTCTCAATATTTAGAACTTCTGTAAAGCAGACCTTTGGGCTATAAATATAGCTATGTATGAAGAGTAACAATGCAGCATTCTAAACAGTGACTGTTTGCTTCTCAAATAAAAAGGATAGTAGAACCATTTCTATACTTCCCTTATTTTAAATTTTCATGTTTTATGTGTAAAAATCATCGTGGGTTAGGGTTAGCCTATCAATAGAAAGGCTATTGGATGAAGGAGATTTTATATTGGACACTTTACACTGTTATTGGCTAAACTGAGACTAAAGGCTGAAAAAGGTTAAGATTTGAGAAAAGTTTAGAAGGTATCTTTCATGATTATGTTTATAAATTAATAATTACAACATTAGACATTACAGAACATAATACCTTGAGAGACAAATTTTACCACGCACCAAACATTTAAATACTCATCTCTTTATATCTTCTCTTGGCTAGAAAAAGATTAAAACTATCGACATAAAAAATAAAGAAATATGCAGAAAATCTACTTTTATTGGGGTAAGTGAAAAAGGTGAAAAGGTAAAGATAAGGAAAAAAGTCAATGGGGCTGGAAAATCTAAAAAGTGCAATTAATTTTCTGACACTGTGATGTCTGCATGTATAGATTTTGGTGAAAATAATAAAATCTTCCCTCAATATAATATGCCTGCTCAATTAGATATCACAAAATGCAGATGATGAACAATAGAATGTTCACACTTTTGAAAGTAATTAGGCTTTTTCATGATCCATAAAAATATAATGGATCATTATTCATGATTTTTCATGATCCATATAATTAATTGAATGATGTACATTTAGAATTTAAATATCAAACTTAATCCAAAGATGACTGATCTAATGTGATGAATGCATAATAATATCTAAAACATCAAAGCTTAAACTACAAAATGTCTTCATTGTGCACAAAATTCAAGAAAAGCACCTTCTAGAAGTATTTCTTGCTTTCAAGAAGCTTTTGCTCTATTGTTTCTGTGACAACAATGAAATTGCTGTCTAACAATGTCTAAACCATCCCAGCTTAATCTAAACTACACAGTGTCTTCATTGTGCAAAAGATTCAGGTAAAAGTGCCTTCTAGAAGTATTCCTTCTTTCAAGGAGCTTTTGTTCTATTGTTTCTGTGAAAACAATGAAGTTGCTGTCTAACAGAATATGCTGGGAAACTAGGAAAGGACTCTTAATTTGTTCATTTGATCTCAACATGGCTCTGTGGTGCAAGACCTTTTAAAACAGAAACCTGATACAGAGTTTCTTTTTTCATAAGAAACTGGTCAGTTTTACTGTTCTGTAGCTAATAAATGGGAGGGCCAGAATGTACCTGATTTTGACCTCTTGGATACACTTTGTACTATGGTTACTTTAAAAATATATGTGAGAACATTCATACTTTGTTACGCTACACTGAAATCTAAGAGACAAACTAAGCACCTTCAAGATTTGTGGGACATGTTTTGCCCTATGTCCTGGATTCTACAGCTTTACTTCAGAGACTGAATTAGAAAGACATTTAAGCTTATTAGATAGATAGGTGTCATCCCCTTGTATCAAGGTACATGAAGAGAAAAGTTCAAGAATTATAAATTCTTAGAAAACATAAAAGATCCATTGGATTCAGCAAGGAAAATGGCAACAAATCAAAAGATACTAGATGGCTATTGACCAGTTTCACGAAGGCAAACCTGCAAGTCAAGATGGAATAATGCTTTCCCACCATGTGTCTAAGACTACAAATGACACTAATCCTTTTTAATGATCACAAAAGCTGACAACTTACTTAGCCTTAGAACTGAAGGCACAAAATCATCTCTGAAAATGACTCACCATAAACAGGTCACGAGCACCAATGTCAACAGCTAGGAGAAATGCCTTTTCAAATCTCTGGTACCTACAAGGCAGAAAAAAATGTTATGTTAGTTGTTAACAAGAATATATAAAAGGAAAGAGCTGTTTACTTAACATATTTGTGTGATACTGTCATTATCCTTCTGATTGGAAAAATATTTTCAAATAGAAGGGATTTGGCTTACTAGGATCTTCCATATGTGAAAAGTTGTTACATTTAGGAGGGGCTGAGGTACAGAGCCTGTGGAGGCCTTACTTTGAAGAATAAACATAACCCCAAGTAGACACTGCTGACTATGATAGCTTAGGAAACATGTTGCCTCTTCTTATTAGTCCTTCTCAGCTACAGAAATCAAAAGGCAATTGTGTTTAATTTTGTGAATGAAGAGTGTCTTGTACTAGAAAGTTTATTGATTCATTATATATTCAGCGGAGGTCGGTTATACTAAGGAAGAGGTCAGAGGATTAGCAAATTGTACAATTTGTCCATGCATTTACTGCAGTGTTGCATTTGTCCCCATTCCATTGTAACTATTCTGGCAATACTAATTATCCATTTTCTTTTTCATTTCTTTTTTAATACAGGGCCTCACTCTGTCACCCACACTGAAGTGCAGTGGTGCAATCATGGCTCACTGCAGCCTTGACCTCCAGGGCTTAGGTGATCCTCCTACCTCAGTCTTCCAAGTAATTGGGACTGTAGGCGTGCACCAATACGCCCAGATTTTTTTTTGTATTTTTCATAGAGGTGGGGTTTTTGCCATGTTGCTCAGGCTGGTCTCAAACTCCTGGGCTCAAGCAAACCACCAACCTCAGCATCTCAAAAGCACTGAGATTACAGGCATGAGCCATTGTCATCCATCTTCTTAGGCTCAAACTTAAAGATAAATTCTCATCTTGCGTGTCCTTTTGGTCATATCTAATTCTATAAACGGCCCTTCCTTGAAACCCTCTCCTACCTTGGCTTGCCCTGCTTTCCTTAATTTTTTGTTTTCCCTTCCTTAGATTGTGTTCTTCTCAGTCTCCTTTGCTGGTTCATTTTTCTCTGCCTCCCCAGGAAATCAGTATTCTATGATCTTCTTTTATTTTACCCACTCTCTCCAATCTCCTCAATAACCTTATCACTCCCGGGACATTGTTAATCAATTATCAGTGGCTTATAAATCTATATCTCTGGGATCCATATCTTCTCCGAGCTCCAAATTATTATTTCAAGGCACTTCAAAGCTAAGATGTCTAACACGTTCACTGAAACATCAATTTGGCAATCATATAGGGGAAACTGAAATTGGAGAGAGTGAAATTAATAGGGATAAGTTAGGATGTGCTCTTCCTTCCAGGTGAGAGGTAATGATAGACAGTAGACAGTAGATGGTAATGATACATAGTAAAATAAAAAAGACTGGAAGCATGGTGAAACAGAAATAGCAAAAGGAGACTCCCAACTAGATTGTTTATAGAATATAGAACCTAGTTAAAGTACATTAAAGTACATCACAGGACTATGAAAGGAAAGTGAGTAAATACCAGGGGGGCCATATTCTAAATAAAAAAATAACCAATTGAGCAAAATCCCTTTATAGAATCACAGTGAGGACTCCTCAGCAGACAACAACTAAGGGGGGAAAACAGGGCAGAACTACTTACAGGGCCATTCCCTTAGGAGATGAGTCTGAACAAAACTCAAGTTAAAGCTGATAAGCTCAGACTGCTGATTAAGCCAAGTACAAGAGCTAAACCCAAGAATTCTGATTAAGCCAAGGGCTAAAAGAGACCCAAGTTAGTAGTGCCCCTAACTTTCACAGAAACAAACAAATAAATTCATGTCTAGACTAAAGCCCTTCTAATAGAGGCCCTCAATGATTAACATAAATTAAAATCAAACAAGTATGAGTTCACAATGATCATCAAAAACATAAGAAAATGAGGCACTATAACTAAAAATTAGAAAAATAACTAATTTACATCTACCTCCAAGGATTTCAGATAATTGAATTGTTAAAGTAGGCATATAAAATAATTCAATATAAATATTTAAAGAAAGAAATGAGGGAGTCATGAAAATAAGCACGTAATATCATACAATAAAGAATAATCAGGTTAATATTTTAAAAAATAAAATAGAACTTTTAGAAATAAAAGAATTAATAACTGAAGTTAAATAATTAGACACCTTTTTTTTTTTTTTTTTTTAATTGGGTCTTGCTCTGTTACCCAGGCTGGAGTGCAGTGGCTTGATTATAGCTCTCTATGGCCTCAACCTTTTAACTACCTCAAGTCTCTTAGGAGACCTTGAATCTCCTAAATAGCCGTGACTGTATACAAGCATGTGCCACGTGCTGGAGTAATACTTTTTTTTTTTGTAGAAGTGAGGTCTCATTATGTTGCCCAGGCCGGATTCAAATCCATGGGCTCGAGTGATCTTCCTGCCTCGGCCTCCCAAAGTGCTGGGACAATGGGTGTGAGCCCCACTGTGCTCAGTCAATTTGACACATTTGAAGAAAGAACTGGTGAAGTAAAAGTGCATAAATTATGTATAAGTCAGGAACTACTCGGAATGTTACACAGAGAAAATAGAGATTAAAAATATAAAGAGAGCTAAGCAAATTAAAGAATATGAAAAAGTCTATTATGACTACACAGGGGATTAAGTTAATGGATAAGAATTTCCAGACATGATAAATGATATGAGACAATCAGCACAAAAGAAACAATATATACCAGGCAGGATAAATAAAAACAATATTTAAAATATTCACATTTGTAATGGAAACGCAGAACTGAACAAAAAATGAAAATTAGGCCAGGCAAGGTGGCTCACGCCTATAATCTCAGTACTTTGGGAGGCTGAGGTGGGTGGAGCACCTGAGGTCAGGAGTTTAAGATCAGCCTCGCCAACATGGTGAAACCTCATCTATACTTAAAAAAAAAAAAGAAAAATTAGCTGGGAGTGGTGGCTGGTGCCTGTAATCCCAGCTGCTCAGGAAGCTGAGGCAGGAAAATCACTTGAATCTGGGAAGAAGAGGTTTGAGTAAGCTGAGATTGTGCCACTGCACTCCAGCCTGGGCCAGAAGAGTGAAACCTGGTGTCACAAAAAAGAAAAAAAAAAAAGAAAGAAAATATATATGGAACCAAAAAAAAGCCTGAATACCCAAAGCAATTCTAAGCAAAAAGAACAAAAGTTGGAAGCATCAAATTATACACTTCAGATTCCTACAAAGCCACAGTAAACAAAACAGCATGGTAATGGTACAAAAACAGACACATAAACCAATGGAACAGATTAAAGAACTTAGTAAAAAGCCAAACACCTGCAACCGACCTTCTGATCTTTGACAAGGTAGACAATAGCAGCAATGGGAAAAATGACTTATTTAATAAATGGGGCTAGAATAACTGAATAGTCATATACAGATGACTGAACTAGGCCCCTTCCTTTCAATGTATAAAAAAATCAATTAAAGATGAATTACAGACTTAAATGTAAAACCTTAGAAGAAAACCTAGGAAATATAATTATGACATAGCCCTGGCAAAGATGTCATGACAAAGACTCCACAAGCAATTGCAAGAAAAACAAAAAATTGACGAATGGGAAGACCTAATTAAACTAAAGAGCTTCTGCGGCCACGCGTGGTAGCTCATGCCAGTAAACCCAGCACTTTGGGAGGCCAAGGAGTGTGGATCATGAGGTCAGGAGTTCAAGACCAGCTTGGCCAAGATGGTGATACCCCGTCTCTACTAAAAATACAAATACTAGCCAGGCATGGTCACGGGCCTCCTGTAATCCCAGCTATTTGGCAGGCTATGGCAGAGAATTGCTTGAACCCGGGAGGTGGAGGTTGCAGTGAGCCAAGATCACACCACTATACTCTAGCCTGGGTGACAGAGTGAGACTCTGTCTCAAAAAGAAACAACAACAACAAAAAGCTTCTGCATAGCAAAAGAAACTATCAAGAAAGTAAACAGACAACCTACAGAATGGGAGAAATACTCACCAACTATGCATATGACAAAGGTCTAATATCCAGAAACTATAAAGAAGTTAAACAAATTAACAGGCAAAAACTTACAACCCCATTAAAAAATGGGTAAAGGATATGAACAGACACTTCTCAAAGTAAGACAAGCACTTAGCCAACAAGCATATGGGAAAATCACTGATCATTAGAGAAGTGTGAATCAAAACCACAATGAAATACCATCTCATTCCACTCAGAATGGCTATTTTATTAAAAAGTCAAAAAACAGCAGATGCTGGCAAGGGTGCAGACAAAAAGGAACACATATACACTGCTGGTGGCAATGTAAATTAGTTCTGCCACTGTGGAAAGCAGTTTGGAGATTTTTCAAAGAATTTGAAAAGAAATGTTATTCAACCCAGCAATCCCATTACTGTGTATATACCCAAAAGAATATAAATTGTTCTACCATAAATATGTGATGTGTATGTTCATTACAGCACTATTCACAATTGAAAAGACATAGAATCAACCTAGATGCCCATCAGGGGTTGACAGGATAAAGAAACTGTGGTATATATACACCATGGAATACCATCTAGTCATACCAAAGAAAGAGATCATGTCATTTGCAGCAACACTGATGGAGTTGCTGGCCACCATCCTAAAAGAATGAATGACATGCAATTTACCTTTGTAACAAACCGGCTGATGTACCCTTGAACCTAAAAGTGCAAGAAACCAAAATAACTTATACATAAAATTAAAAAAAAGAAAAAGCTGCCAGAGAGAAGACATATCATCTACAAAGGAACTACAAATAGGCTGATCCTAGACTTCTTACTGGCAAGAACAGGAGGTAGAAAACAGTGAGAAACTATCTTCAAATTATGGAGCAAGAATAAGCATACGTCTCTGAGCAGAGACTCCTCCAATTTGTCGATTTTTGTTTTTGTTACAATTGCTTGGGAAGTCTTTGTCACGGTGCCTTTGCCAGGGCCTATGTCCAGATCAACATTTCCTGGGTTTTCTTCCAAGTTTTTTTATAGTTTTAGGTTTTACATTTAAGTATCTAATCCATCTTGAGTTCATTTTTGCATATGGTGAAAGGAAGGGGCCTAGTTTCAATCTTCTGTATATACAAAAATTCTAAACTTGGATGTACTTAATAGGTTCAAAAGTATATAAAGCAAAACAATGGAATTAAAACAAATGATCAGCCTACCATCACTGTGTGAGACTTCAAGAGTTATCTCTGAATTTTTGCTAGTCTAAGCAGTGAAAAAATTAGGAAAGAAATAGAGGTCTTAAACAACATAATTACAAAGCTATGTTTACTGGACACATAGAACTTAAATCAGAGAACCTTAAATCTTAAATTAGAGAATACAAATTTTTCTCAAGCACAAAATTATATTATGAAGTATATAAGCATGGGGGACTATAAAATTATATTATGAAGTAAAAAAGCATGTCTCAATACATTCTAAAGATTATAATTAATCCATCCACAATGTAATAAAGTTTGACAAAAAGATAAGCAATATATTCACATGTACTTAGGAATGACAAAGTCATTAGTCAAAGAAGAAATCATAATAGAAATTTAAAAATACTTAAATATATACAAAAACACTTGAGCAAATGAGGCATTTGAAGGGAAATCTATAGCTTTAAGTG